TTTACAAATCATTTGGGACCCTCTGGGCACCAGTGTCCCTCTGCTATGGCCGTTGAGATCATGGTGATAGCCTTCTAGTTAGGTCAATGAGAGAAGTGATTGCCACTTCATAAAATAATGTATCTCCATTTKCCAGAAGATTCTGTTAAGTTTAAAATATGTTAACGACTGAGTTGGCGTCCATAAAAGAGGRACTAAAGTGATAAGATAATCGATACTTACATCGGAAGACTTTGACTGATAGTAAGKTGCGCACTGCTGGTATCCGCGAACGTGGGCCAAATAATTCTGTATGAAAAGCACAAGGCACCATTCGGAGCCATGATCGGCTCTGACCATGTCCCATATCCCATGATTAAGCAATAGAGGTCTGTAACATAAAGAGAATAAATAAATAAACGTAAAACAACAACAAACAGGGTCCGCAGTAATTGGCTCACGCTGTTGCGGTTTCCCTGCCCATACTAGGGGCAAAGCTAAATAAATAAAATAAATAAATAAATAAATAAAACAAACAAAAGCAACATCAGAACAGATACTGCGGTATTTGCTTATGCATCAATATAGTTATCTCGAATAACGGAAGTAAGAAAACGTATGTATAGCAAGTAGGTAGTAGTCATTTTTAGTAGGTGAAAAACACGTTGAACAGATTAGCCCATTTATGAAGTCAAATTCCGCTTCTATTTGTGCTCTTAAAAAGAAAAAAAAATATGAAGAAAGTGCCGGCTGTTGTACTGAGTGACAAGATATTCCATACTTACTGAAACAGATTGTTGTATATCACTATTGGATTTTTTATAGGTATAGTGATCATCCCAACTATTTGACTGCTATGCCCATCACTAAAACATATGTGAGTGACTCCAAAATCCTTCAGCTTTTCATTTTGGTCGATATGGAGCTTGTGACCATGGTATGGAGAGTAGTATGGTACTGGATTAGCACGCCTGACCAAGTCGTTGCGACGTTTGTGGTGGTAAACAGGTGAAACCCTACTGAGGAGCTTTGTAGTTTTC